CTCTGCACCATGCTTATCAAGCCTTGAAGGCAGAGACGGGCCTCACACACCAGTAAGAGTGAAGAAACTGTGCTAATACACAGCTGCAGCCTTGCAGTGAGTCAGTGATTTGGTGTCAGAGGTTCTGTAATTAGGAGCAGAGAGACTGAAGACTAATACTGCAGTTCTTTTCACCTTTTCTGCTCAATCTTCTTTTCATCATGGAGATATTTATCTATAGAATGTACTCTATACATACAATGTTTTAATACCTGGTATGTCCAGAAATCATTTGGAAAAAAAAGCCTTTATAAAAGCCGGAAGTAATTTACCTTCAAAGTCGTCAACAAATTACGCTGAGCTCCTTCCAGTCTGTGAAGTCTGAGCTTCTTCAGCTCACTTGCTAAGAGGTCTTTTAGTGCTCATCAAACTGTATAACAATACTTTATTGTACTGCCAAGAGGAAGTAATTGGTCTCACAAGAGTGTGCATAAATTAGGCCAGCGAGAGATGGCACAAGACTTCGAAAATGAAACTTTTTTTTTCCTCAGTTTGGATTCACATTTTCAACAGTTTGAACACAAGTGGTTAATGATCTGGTCTTACAGTAAAACGACCAACAAGCTGGTTTAATTGTTGTTGGTGTTAGTGTACAACGTTCACCTTTATTATATATAACAATTATATTTTTCACAGCATAGCTCTCCCTTGAAATATCTGATGGAATCAGTCAGGTTTTCGTCTGTAACAGTCGGAAAAACAGAGTGAATGACAACCCTCCAGTAACTTGTAACTCACTGAAGCCAAGGTTGGATTTTTATAGATTTTCCATTTGAAATTTGATCAGTTTTGGCATTAAAAAACAGTTTACATGAGAGCCTGATAACCATGTTGTTCTTCTCTTGGTCTAATATGTTTCCCACTTCATTATATCCATGTCTCTCCTTCACCACCAAAGCCTCAAGAATGTAAACAAGATGCTTCTGTAACCGGTCTGCAAACCAGTCTGACAGTTTATTTTATCTTTAAAACCATTTGTCACAGATCTGCACATAAACATGCCTCCACTCATAAACAAACAAGTGCCACACACTCACACACACACATGTAATGCTATACTGCATTTGCAGTCGATCATTAAATTCTTCCTTTAACTGTGGTCTTTAAAGCTCTCTGGATGATTCACTATGACAGATGTTGTCTTGTGTTACGTTCCTAATGGTGTTTTAAATCGAACAATCGATCATCATGAGTAAATAGAGAACTGCTTACATAATAATAGATAAATAATAACACTGTAAATAAGGAAATCATCTTCAGGCGGGTATGAGTATTACAGCTCCAAGTCCAACAAGTTTCTTGCCCAATTCTGCAAAGCCAACGTGTTTGGCCTCGAACATGAAGAGTTTCACTGAAGCTGCTGCATAAGAAAGTGAAACTGGGACACACTTTCCGTCACTCATTGTTCGTGAAGTAACAGTTGGCAGTGGACGAGGGTTTCAGAAACACAGAGCTGAAAATACTATCATTGGAGCAAAATAGCCCCCTGTTGTGGCTGCAGTAGTGAAACGGCACCTATTCTTCTATTTTCTTTTAAAACTGTAGTTCAACGCACACTCCTTTTACTGCAGCTTTAACCTGACGTGGTTATAAGAGTTGAAGCTGACAGCTGCTCTTTCCGTTTGATGTTCTCACACACACACATTTGAATGCAGTAAAAGAACTTTGTTTGCGTTCCTTTTTTTGTGCCAGTTTTCTGTCAGGCAGTTTAGAGAAACAGAGGATGTTGTACAGGAGAAAAGACAAACAGTTTGTGGTGACAGTTGCTCTGCCAGTTCGTTCCTCAGTCTTTGACTCTTTCTCTGAGCAGCTGAACAAAAATGCACTTTTTGTGATTCACTGCTCTGTAGGAATTGCTTCTGTCCAGTCATTTATCACCTTATTGTATTCAAAGTGTGAAAAGTTTAATTAATCCTATGACGCAACCAAACGTCAGCCCAACATGAGAGTGAAAGTGCCATAAGAGGCGAAGCTAGTGGTTGTATTAATTAAATCTTAGGCAAGAAAGTAATGAAGCTGATTGCCGTATCAAGGTCGCAGATTCTTACAGTCTGCAATGAATACAACGAAAATGAGGATGTTCATTATGCAAAAAAGAAGCAATAATTCTCAAAGGAGACAGATCTGTTTGGTTTGCAAATGAAATCATATTTTGAGTTTGAACTGAAGTCACCCTTAAAGCTCATTCAGGGACACTTTACATTTATCTCACCCGGCCATAGAAGTCCAATTTAAGATATAGTATTTTATTATATGTTATAGTCTGTTCTTTAATGATGACTTAACATACGTTTTATTTATTTATTTATTTATTTATTTTTGCAAATTGACCATTTAAGTCTAGCCTGAAAAAGTATTAAAATAAAACAGCATCAATGACAGCCCCTGGAGAACTTGCAATTCTTCCTTTAACAAAAGGCTTTGTCCATAGGAAAAATAATGACTTGTTTCACTAGTGATACTGAAAATTCTCTTTGTAACAAAAGAAAAAAATCTACCACATCATCCACATTAAAGTTTCCTACTGTGATTGTACCCAGAATTGCTTACAGCATTGTTTGTGCAGTTTTATTTTGGGCAGATTCTTCTTTGTTGTTGCCTTGAGCAGCGAGGCCCTGGAAAGTGGAGCAGCACAATAACTTTGATGTAGTGATGTTTGCAGGGTGGCGTAAGAACGGCCTGCTCTTCTTCCAACTCTGTGGTCGGAGACCAGAAACATGTACGGGTTTTAACTGCATCGATTTGTGTGAAAGGCGGACTAGAAACACACAGACCAGCACATGGATGAGAAACATATTACAGGAAGTGACACAGCTACATGTACACCTCAGTGGGTAGCCAGTTATGAGAATTGTCAGCTATTGTGCATTTTAGAAATGTATTTTATCTATATTTCTCTTCTCTGAGAAATGATGATTTTTCTCTGCCTGAATTCGTTTGAAAAGGTCCAAAGAATGTGGCGTTCAGGTCGCATCAGATCAAAGTGAGTCCAAACAGCTCGACGTTGGAACCAGAAATAGAGATCGGAAGTGAACGCTTTGACACTGTGGATTAGAATGAATGGATGTCAGTGGTCCAGGTGTGAGCAGACCCCTCTGCTCCTGAGCAAAGAAGGACTTGCTGCTTTGTTGTTTCTTGCATTGGTGCGTTTGAGAAACTAGAGAGAGAGTGCTGGAGAGAGAGGTCATCACCATTCATCTGGTTTGTTGTCAAAGTATCATTGTCAGAAGTTCTGTGCTCTTAACAGTTAGACCAACATGACCCTCATCAATCATCCTGCTCTCTGATTGGACTGATTTTTTAAGGTGACTGAAGAAGAGTTTTCTAGTTCTGCTCTGAGATTCCTGTCAGCTTGAATCTACTGCAGCACCAGTTGGTCATGAACAGACGCAGGAAGTGGACTTGCTCATGCAGTTGTGCATGGATGTGTACTTTAGAAGGATATTCAGAGGCATCTGATTTATTCATGCACAGCAGAGGAATTGTTAATTTTTTAACAGGTGTGATGTGGAGCCCTGGAGTAGATTCATCTTCCTGTGCACATGTGCACGTATCTGTTTGTGTGTGTGTGAGTTCTTGTATATGTGCGTGTGTATGTGTGCTCCACAACTGTCAGTCAGTTTTCTACTCCTCTGAACCATTTCCTTAAACAACAGCCTTTTCTGTGCTTATCCTCCAGTACAGTAAGAAACTCATTTATTTATGCTTCCGGGTTCCTGATGCTATTTTTAGCGTCTTGCCAGGAAACTGCTTTTTAAAAATTTACACTGGACAAGCTAAAGTCAATAAATGAAACACATGGTTGCGCTTTCAGGGCCTTGACTTGATTTTTTTTTTTTTTCAGTAATGTGAAGCAACAAGACTGAAGAGATTACAACACAGCCTAGGAATAAATAGTGTCTCTGGTGAAATCAAATGTTTGCCGCGGGGCAGTATATATATATAAAGTTTTTAAAGTTTTTTTTGCTATTTGATATATTTTCTGCACTTTGGGTCAGTTCATATTTAAATACAGAGTAATAACCAGTCACTCTGTGAGACAAGCAGTGACAGAAGACATGTCAAAAGTCAGAAAGATAGATGGACACTTCAAACTTAAACACAGAAATATAAGAAGAAAGTGAATGATAAAAAGTAGAGGAGACAAGACACAAAAAGACATAAGACAATCTGACAGAATGTCAGATAATAAGACAGGTGGACAAACGTACAGGCAGATAGATAAAGAGACAAATTGCCAGATGGGAAGAGAGGCTGACAGACTAGTGTCAGACTATTCTAATCTCAGTCAGATAGAAGACAATATGCTCACTCTCTAAATGTTCAATCACTCTGCATCTTTCCTGTCAGCTTTAGCTTATGCTGCAAATTCCAAGCAAGACTTTTTCCCTCCCTTTTCTGACGCAGCTCATTTGCTCTGCCTCAGGGTTCGATCCACTAATTTTAGCTTGGCAGAGATGAAAAGACACAGATGGGACACTTCTTGTTAAGCTCATTTGCAAGTCAAAACCTCTGAAACTCTGCTGAAGTTCTTGTTCTTTGTAACCCTTGATTTTTGATTCTCCACTTTACTGTGTCCTCTTAATAAAAACAAAAATTAAAATAAAAAAAAATGCGTGTGCACAAAAAAAAGTTATTTAAAAAATAATTGCTAACATAATGTTGATTTCTTTCACTGTTCATGATATTCTTTCTCTTTTTATGTTATCTGTTAATGATAATGTGTAATCTAAAATACAAATTATAAATAAAAATGTATTTAAAAATAAAACTAAGGCAGACTGAGTTGTACCTCTAATATGGGATCTACCTGAGAGCGTCTGAAGACATTCTCATGTCCATTTATCCCTCCACTGTTGTAATGAGTCCAGGGGGCAGCAGCAGCAGTAGTGGCCTCACAGTCAGGCCTTCTTTAACACTCTCTTCCTGTGTCTGTTTTTGTCTGTGTCTGCTTCCTTCAGTGAGCAGAGTATCTGCCAGGCGCGAGCCTCCGTCATGGTGTACGATGACACCAGTAAGAAGTGGGTGCCCATCAAGCCTGGACAGCAGGGATTCAGTCGCATCAACATCTACCACAACACTGCCAACAACACCTTCAGAGTGGTGGGAGTGAAGCTGCAGGATCAGCAGGTGAAGTGAAGATAGTCTGTTAATAACGTCAAGGGTTTAATTTACCATCAAAGTACCATGGGTACCTTCATACATAGCAGGGAAGACTGTGGTATTTGCAACTTGGAAACCAACCAGAGTTACAGATACATTTTAATATTTATGACCAGGGAAATCATAACTAAGAAACCCAGGACATTGTGACAGAGGTCATGAGTGATTCTGTGAGCCAGTGACCCACGAAGCCAAACTCGGCAGGAACTGGTGTATAAAACAATACTGTTCAGTTTTTACTCCACTGCAAAAATGTTTCTTGCTCCTGGAAAGGCAGCCCCTATTTTTACCCCCTTTTTGGGCATCTTCTTCTTACCCTTATTCATTCTATCTTCCTTCTACTTTTCTGCAGGTGGTAATAAACTACTCTATAGTTAAGGGGCTCAAGTACAACCAGGCCACTCCAACCTTCCACCAGTGGCGAGATGCTAGGCAGGTTTATGGCCTCAATTTTGCCAGCAAAGAGGAGGCCACCACCTTCTCCAACGCCATGCTCTTCGCTCTCAACGTGCTCAGTGCTCAGGATGGAGGTGTGTGTCCCCACAGTGCAACACAAACACACAAACACAAACACTTATTAGCCATATAAATTAGCACATATGGCACATGGACTCAGGAAGGCCATTATGTGCAATTTCCTAATTTCAACAGTCACACACAGTATTATTACCCACTAACCACCAGGCCCTCAGTTCCACCTTATGGCACACGATAATTAAAAAACAGGCACAGTTTGGGAAATTTTACGTGGGCAAATATAAACTGCTTGGTCATCAATTTAATGAAGGTCCTGGTACAGGGCAGGATATCAGCTTTATGGGAAAAACACCACTCAGCAGATGTAAAAGTAGCTTGCTGTGTCTGTGTAGGTGTGTGTGTGTGTGTGTGTAGAGCAGTAAAATGTTTAATGTTGCTGCTGTGCAGCGGCTGATTTACGATCGTTCTAGATTTCTTCTCATACAGCTTTCGGCCTTCCTCTGCCATGTCTGAGTATTTTTAATCATCTATAATGCTGACCATGTGGGTGGGGTCAGGGGTTACATTTCACATGATTAGTGAAAAATGGAACTAATAAGTGGATTAAGTTTTCTCTAAGTGTGTTTAAAAATAACAAGGACATTATGTCCCAAAGTGTGGACAGAAACATCTGATCCTTGAGCAGGTGTGAAGAATTTGATTTTACTGCCTTTGGATGATTTAGAAGAAAACCAAAGCCTCATTGATGTCTTTTTGTTATTGCAATTACTTTCAAAATACCAAATAGACTTTTAAAATTTTCATTTTGAATTTGGAGCATTATATTTTCTTCCATATGTGGCAGAAGATACAATACTGACTCTTGGGTTGCAATTATGTCCAAATCTGCCTTTTTTATTGTTAAATTTATTAAAAAGAAAATATATCCGTGTTTTGATGCATTAATTAGAATTCGTTTTTTTTTTTAATCCATGTGCATTATACTACAGTCCTCTACTTTTGCAGACACACAACAGCCCATCTGTGCTGACATTTTATTTACTATTACTGCAGCCAATCACCATCTGACAACATGTCTGTATGTGTTATCTGGCTGTGTGCGTTTACAAGCACACATGTTTTAATTAGAAAGATTGAGACACAATAAGAATTAATAGCAGTGTGCCAATCCGAGCCACAGCGGCAGTAGCTCCATGTCTCCCCCTACAGTCTCCTCCCGCCTCTTTAATTAGAGTGAGACACTGAGACGATGTCCCGTGGGTGCTGTGGCAGAGAGCAGATCTTTTCATCTGTCTGATAATACAGGAAGTGAAACAACGAGGCTCTGGTGACATCAGACAAATACAAACACACCCATACACAAAAGACACACACACACACACTTGACAGACAGATGGACCAATACACTGCAGTGACTCCAACTGCACCACCATCGTACACCTGCACACTTTTCCTTAATGTACAAAGAAATGGAATGTCATACATGTGTGTACAGTAAGGAGTGTGTTTTTTTACACAGACACAGAATAGATTGGTGTGACATTGGAATGGATTACTGTCTAAATGTTAAGCCGTCATTGGTGCTTGCAAAATTGGTTTGAATGTTTTACTATACATCTTTAAAAAGGGCTTGGAGACAGTGGATGAATTTCAGCAGGCATCTGTGTGCCGATCTATACTGGAGTTATTTTGTATCCACTTCCATGAAATATTTTTATTGTCCTACTTTCCACCTGAGCAGGACACACTCTCTGCTCCAGAGTAGCCTCTAAGCCTGCAGGGTGTTTTTCGTCCCTATATAGAAGCAGAGTACTACAGTGTGTTCCTTACTCTGCAAAACTGAAGGACGGGCACAGGTGCAGGTGTACGGTACTGGATTCCTTATGGAAGAGAACCAAAAAAGTGTACGATTTTACCCGTTTACTTACAATCTCAACAGTAGATGTAGTAATGGTACTAGTTATGGGAATGTCTAATAAAACTTCTCTGTCATCAGATCTATATTAAAGCATCTTAAAATATATTGCAAATGGAACCGAATTGTGCAAACCTTCACTACTTATTTAGTTAGAAACTACGGTTTACGTTCATTTGGGAAATTTCTGTTTCTATTGAACTGTATTGACTTGAGCTTTCTATGATAGGTGTGTGTGTCTGTGTATGTTCATAAGGCTGGATGGCCTACAGACTAACATGACCTTTTGAAACATTAAGCAGAGATGCTCGCTGCGCTGCTGCCGCCGCAAGGTGTGCATTACAGGAAGATGACAGATGATACAGAGGCTGGGTGGAGGAGGGGAGAACGGCCAGTGAGGATCGAGAGAGAGAGAGGGAGAGGGAAGGACAGGGATGGGGTGAAGGAGTGAGAAAGAGTGAGTGGAGGTGAGAGATGGTCAGCAGGGAGTGGGTCTGTCAGTGCCTCTGTATCTGCTACAGCCGCTTTCTCTTCTTCAGCATGTCATGTACGTAGGTAGTAAAGCCCTGTGTGCTCTTCTCTGTGTGACAGTGACCATTGTTTTGGGTGTGGGTGTGTGTGTGTGCATAGTTGTGTGGTAATACACTTAATTGATGTATTTAACGTGTTAATAGCTGGTCCTGGGAATACATGCCAGGTTTAAACAACGCACATTATTGTAATTGGTACCTAGCAGTTTGTTTTGTGGAACAGGTTGGAACAGTTTGTGTTAAAGTAGTATTGTTAATTAAAAAGGCAGTCAGTTTACTTTAGATATGTTTGCCAACTTTCAAATACTTTGGGATTAATTATATTGACCTCTTTGTGCTTTATTTGAATTGCATATATTTTCTTCTGCTCAAACTTCTGCATTTTGCACAATTTTTGCATTTTACCAAACGTGTTTAACTTAACTTAGTAACATACAGGCTGAACCTTTGTCAGAAAAGTAGTAAGAAAAGCTGTGACTTACATTTTTTAAATGCTTCCTATAAAACATCATCACTTTTACAGCCTTGTGTGTCACAAAGTTGTACCTGGT